TCTCTCTCTCTCTCTCTCTCTCTCTCTCTCTCTCTCTCTCTCTCTCTCTCTCGCCTGTTTCACCTCCAAATAAGAAGGGACACCATGTTCACAGGACACATAAACAATCACGGGCAGAGTGAAGGGTTGGAAGACTCCTGGCCTTCACTGACATAGATATGGGGCAGAGGAGATGCCTGAGCTCCAAGAGGGACCTCAAGGAGGTCCAGGTGGTGCAGGCAGCCCACTGGAGTAGACACCACTCCCCACCCTACCAGCTAAATGTGGGCAACAGCCCAGGCCATCCCTCCTTAAACTGTTCTGAGAGAAGAGGAGCAAGACAACATTTACAGCCCCAGGCAGTGGGCAGGCTCACTAGACAGCGCCCTGACCTTCAGGCACCTTCCCCCGCTTTGAACCTCATTGAAGGTTCACAGACCTGGACTGCACCTCATGTGCATAATGTACTCAAAGTGAACTCTGGAACACCCATGCAGGAATCGTTCCTCTGAGATGACTCAGCCCCTTGTCAATCGCTGCTGTCAATCTTACCCAGAAACCAAGAGAGAGACCCTGGGCTGGGGTGCACAGCCTATAAAATGCCAAGCCTGATGTATCCCTGTGCTTCTTACTTTCCTTCACCCTGACATCCTTTTTCTGTTCCTACCTGAGCACATCTTCCTGTCATCTTCCAAAAATGTAGTTGAGGGCTGGCTAGGTAGCTCAGCTGCCTTGGCACCTGCTTAGGCAATGGCAGGGACTGCAGTTAGATCCCTGGCACCACATGTCACGCTGGCCCAGAACCTGAGTGTGCTGAGCCCACTGCAGAGACCAGGTGTGATGGCACATGCTTGTAGTCACAGTGCTGGTGAGGCTGAAAACAGGGTGATCACTATGAATCTGAGCTGGGTAGTGAGACCCTGTAGCAAATACATATAAAACAAAATGAGACAAAACCACCATAAAACAAAAAATGCAGTTGCTTTCTTCTTAACCACTGGATGTAAAATTGCTGTTCTGCCCTTGATATACCCAAGACTCCAGAATCCATCTGTGACCTACCACGCAGTATTACTGGAACCTAGGAACAAAAAACGCTCTTGGAAAAGAGGAAGAAGGTCATTTCAAAGGTGATAAACAGAGTCACACTCACTTGAATGGAGTAGGAAGTTGTTTTATTTCAGAGAATGCAGTGCAATGAGGGTTGGCAAAAGTGGCAAAGGCCCAGAACTTTCCCCCCTTTCCACATTGCTTGGCTCCAATACAGACAGATCTCCAAGCACAAAGGAATTATTCATCTATATATTCAGTCCCAGGTCTGCTGCAGTATCCTGGTTCTCTAATTCTCCCAATACCTCCACTCTTTTTTTTTTTTTTTTTTGTGGGAAAAAGAAAATCCAAAAGGGAGATGATGAAGGAAAGAGAGAGAAACAGAAAAGGCAGAAGAAACTGTAATAGAAACTGCCCGTCAAGACAGACCAAGCTGCTCAAAACTAGACAATTTCATCGAAGTGCACAGGAACCAGGGGATATTGAGGGTCACTGGGCTGAGGTGGGTCACAGGCCACCTTGAAGTTTTTGGTTGTGTCAGTATCAGTGTAGTGGCAGTTAGGAAACTGGCTTGGTCTAACAAGCAAGCAGTCAGTCATTCTCACAGGACTGGCACTTTGGTGGCAGTTGTACTGGCCATTTTTGCACTGTGTCATGGGCAGTTTACAGACGTCAATCACATTCTGGAGAGCATCATGCAGAAAGGTGTTTGTAGGCTTACACCTCTTTATAAGGTTGTTGACAGCAATCATTGCCTGATCACATGGGAGGGGGTTTGGCTGGATGTGCTGAATTTGAAACCACTGAAATGGGGTATAACCTGGAGGGATAGCCCAAAGAGGACACCACAGAGCCAATAGGCCCAACAGCTGCAGGAGAGGAGATCTCAGGACTTGCACCATCTCTTCTGTGGAGAAAAAGGGAAGAGCATGGAAAGAGTAGAAGCAGAACAAGGTTATTAATCCTCACTACTTATCATCTTGTTTTGCTTTTAAAGATTTCATAACTCCTTAAAAAAAATCTCACCCACATATTCTCAAGTTCCAGTGAAAACAATATGAGGTGAGCAGCCCTCTCCTGTAACCAGCACACCCTCTTCCCCTCTGATCTGAGCTCCTGCACTCAGTAACACTCACTTCACAAACATGATTTTTTTAACATGTATTTGGTACACAGTCTCATGATGCAGCTCTGACTTGTACTGATTCTCCTGCTATCAGCCTCCCCAGTGCTGCCGGGATTACAGGCATTTGTTGCTGGCTCAGCAGGCCTGGGGGAGGGCGGGCATGGCATATGGTTCTGGGGATCAAACCTGGGTCTGTGTACTTGCCTGAGCAGTCCCATTGTCCACTGAGCTATCTTGCCAGCTCAAATCTGACTTTTTATCCCTTCCCTCCTGAGATGCTGACCTTCGTCTCTGACCACCTCCTCCCAGCCATCTCCCAGTGCATCCCATCCCTCAGGTTACCCCTCTTACCAGGTATCAGTGCTGGGTTCCTCAGTCTCTGAGGTTCTGAGGAATCTTTTCTTCTTTGCCCCAGCTGACCTGTGCTGCTTGCCAGGCAGTGAAAGTTATTTTCTGAGCCCCAAGAGAGTCAGGCCTCTTAGCAGATGTGAACTCCTTAAAGAAAGCAGAACTCACAAGAAAACCAACCTTGGGCAATACTTTCCTGTGAACTCCCCTCCCTGAAAGTCATGCTTGTGAAGGGGAACAGATAATGGTAACACTTGTGCCTGCCCAACAGAGCCCTGTGGCAGCCAGTCCCCACCAGGATGTGTTTCCCAGAAGGCTGACCATGTAAGGGTCGAGTCGCCGCGAAGGAAGACCCCAAGAGTTGGTCTCTCATGCAAAGAACAAAGGGAATTTTATTAGCTGTGTGCACACAGGGCAGTCTGAACACGCAGGAACAGAGCACGCCAAACTGACCGTGGGCCATGTTTTTAAGCCTGAAGACAAAGGGAGGAGGGGTTTTGCAAGGGAGGTTACAGAAGCAGATCACATTGGTTAATTTTAGGGTAACCTCTAAAATAATTAGTGGGTTTTAGAATATGTCTAAAAAGGAGATTAGGAAGGGTCAGTTAAAGGATAACTATGAGCTGGCTTTGTGGTTTCGGTCTGTTCTTTGGGGAGGGGGAAGTAACTGACCTTGTTTCACAAGAATGTCATCGGACCCAGGGGAGGTGATGTTTGCTCAAGCTGGGCCTGTGGTTTTATGGCCCAACCTAAGGTTTTAGGAATTTGGGTTACTTAACAAACCGGGGGGTGGTCTCTTTTGTTTAATTGCTAATTTTCCAAATTATTCGGACCCTACAACCTCTGCTCTGTTCCTGATAAGAATGACCCTAATGGTTCTGAAGAAAGACATCTGTATGTAACTCCCCATGGCATCTTCGATTTTGTGTTTTATGACATCCTCCTGTCCCAAAGGTTCAAAAGGTTCTAAGGAACCAAACTTTTACTAGAAGCCTGAGGCATTTTCTGCACCACTAATCAGGCAGACCCCAGCCTCCTGTAAAAAAACCCTGGACCCCTTCTCTGGTCCTACAGTAAACTTTTGGACAGAAGACCAGCCTGTTGGGGGTCACCTAATGAAATCCACCTATTTCTTAGAACTTGTAATCTCCCCACCTCAACCTCCTGAATTCTGGGATTTCTGAAGTGTTCTACTGTGGAGGACCACCTGAGCAGCTCTCCTTGAAAGAAGAGCGATGCTCTCTATTTTGGCAGAGCCTGACCCTATTTCCTCAGATTGTTTTATACAGAGCTGGCTAGTACTTTTCTTTATCCCTTCAATTGGCCTTAAGCAATGTATATTGGTCTAGCTGAGGTGCTGGTGATAATCTTTGAAGGTGTCATGCATGTTTCCCTGGTAACCTACACCTGCTGCTCTCTAATGTGAACAGGGTCTGGGCAGGATGAAGAGCTAATGCTCCATGCTAACTGGGATTGAGCTTGAGACAGAGGGTATGACTTCCTGGGGCTTGAAGGATTACATCAGAGCTGAAGCACCAGATCCCAAAACATTAGTTACACTCAATAGCATAATGCAGACTACTTTCTCTGCATATCCTCTCTGCATATCACCTAAATGTAAGCTACCCACCCAGCTCAGCTCACAGTACTCACCTACTGCCCACAATTCTCAGTCATTCCTCCTCAAGCCTCTCCTCCACTGAATAAACCTGGGTGTGGCCCTGGGTCAGCCTCTTTGTTCTGGAAAGCTATCTTCATGGATGGACTTAGGGCCCCATGGATCCCCAATAATTATAAATATGTTTCAGTGTCTTTACTTTTGCCATGGGTTGCACTGGAAATGGTAGATTGAAATTAACTTGATGAGATTCCAATAACATATCTTTGGGATTACAAATATTGACTTCTTGGACCAAGACCAGAACCTGGAGGGTCTTCTACATTCTACCATGCCCAACTCAAAACTCAATTGCCTTTTTACATATCATAAATGAACATGAGAATTTAAACTTAAAAACATAATGCCACTTATAATATCCCCAAAGAGGGGCCGGAGAGATGGCTCAGTAGGATAAGTGCTTGACTGGCAAACGCAAGGATCTGAGTTCAATCCCTGGTTCTGCAAATAAAATAAAATAATAATAATACCCCCAAAGAAAAGTGCTGAGGTATCCATTTCATTCCATATGTGAAGATTTGGGCCCTGTTATGGTTTGTGTATAGTTGTCCCTCCAAAGCCTCATGCAGTCTTGGGGCTGCTTCTGGAGTTTGTGATTGATTATTGTGGGTGTGGATGCTGTACCCTTGTGCTTTTGCTCTTTGCCATCTCAACGAAAGGTTGCTCTCTGCTGTGTGCTGCTCTGCCTTAGAGCCAGCTAAGTGTAGACTAAAAACCTCCATTAACTGTAAGCTAAATAAACCTTTCCTTTCTTCATTTTGGGGCTCGGGTATTTGTCCCAGCAATGAGAGAAAATAATTAAGACAGAATTTGGTACCACAGGAGTGGGGTCTTTTCTGTGGCTAAACCTGACCAGGTGGATTACAAGTTTTTGGGAATGGCTTATGGGAAGAGATAGGAAAGGTTCAGAGATGTCACCTACAAGCAAAGTGCTGGAACAGCTTTGGCTGTTCTGTTTGGGAGATTCTGGTCAGAGCTCAGAAGACCAGAAGGCTGATGAAAAGCCAGCCTGTAAAGACCAGACTGGGGAGGTTTCTGCTGGGAAGAAGGACTGCATTGATTGTTGGACTCCGGATCATTTGTGTTTTGACTTGGCAGAGAAGTTGTCTGCATTTTGCTCATGTCCAGAAACTTTGAATGAGAGTGAGTTTAAGCATGGCAGACTGATCAATCTGGCAAAAAATATTTCAAAGCAGCCAAATACTGGGACAGTGGCCTGGTTGTTGCTGAGGGCTTTTAGCCAGACTTGTGTTGAGAATAAAGAGCAAGGAGCCCAGCAGAATGGTTCAGAATGTTGTGAGTTTGGCCAGAAAGGAAGCACCAATAAAGCTGTGAACTGCAAAGATGGAGCTGAGAGGATCTCCACTGTGGGGAAGGAAACTGAGAATGGAAAGGATGGCCTGAGAGTGTCACAGGAGGAGGCAGGTCTCCACCCTTTGCAGCCTCAGAACTGCAAAGGTCAGGAACTTTGCCTTGAGGGGAAAGCCGCAGAGCTCCAAGTTCCAGAATGCTGGTGGAATGGAGAAATCATTCCTCTGTATCTGGGTCAGAGTGCTCAGCCATCCAGGCACTTGACCCCTACAGGCAAGAGAGAGGAAAACCTGGCTAGTGCTCCAGCTGGTGGCAGACCTTGACATCATCCATGTGGCACTCATTTTAGGCATCTTAAAAATGCAGGAGTTCTGAGGTTAAGAAGGCTTCCACCTAGATTTCAGAAGAAGGCCTGGGAGGCCAGGCAGTGTGCCCCTGAGAGGGCAGTGTGTGAAGTTGTGAGTGAGAAGCCTAATCAGTGGAAATCCCAGAAGTTTGGAAAAGCTAGGAATGTAGATCATCTAAGGGAAACTGCAAGGAGGGATCAAAGCCAGCTAACAGGAACTCCATGGGAGCTACCACCTCGAGTGCCACAGGGGCGGAGCCACATGGAACTCACAATTTGCCACAGATTACTTCAGATGTTCCACATGGAACTGCACGACTTACTGTTTGTCCTGCGGATTTTGGACTTGTGTAGGACCCAATGCTTGGTATCCTTCTGTGTGTATGTTTTAGAATGGTAATGTTTATCTTGTGCCTCTGAATGTTGCAAGTGTTTAGGTTTTCATTTGTACAGGGGCTCACAGTTAAGTTTGCCTTGGATCTTGGAGGGGACTTGGGACTTGGACTTTTCAGCATAGCTGAAACTGTTGGAACTTTGGCAAAACTTATAGAGATGGACTAGAATGGCTTTTGCATAAAGGGATGAGCATGAGTCTTTGGGGGCCCAGGGGTGGAATGATATGGTTTGTATATAGTTGTCCCTCCAAAACCTCATGCTGTCTTGGGGCTGCTTCTGGAGTTTGTGATTGATTATTGTGGGTGTGGATGCTGCACCTGCCCTGGCGCAGGTAATTTGCATTACAGTGTAAGGTGGGAAGAGAAGCTAGATGCTTGATCTGCTGTTACCTCTCCCTTGTGCTCTTGCTCTTTGCCATTGCCATGAGAGGTTGCCGTCTGCTGTGTGCCACTCTGCCTTGGAGCCAGCTGAGTGTGGACTGAAACCTCCAGTAACTGTGATCTAATAAACTTTTCCTTCCTTCATTTTGGGTGTCAGGTATTTGTCCCAGCAACAAGATAAGAGTAACTAAGACAGGCCCTCAACAGAGCATTGTTTTGCCAGTCTGCCATCACTACTACAAAATAGCCTAGAAAAATGCAAAAATTAGGAGGGCAGATAGGCCACCCCTCCCCCAGCTCAGCTCCCAGCAGCACTAAGCTGCAGAAACACTTAGTGACTCCATGCTTCTGGGTAGCAAGTCACTAGAACAGAGGTGTCTCTTCTCAATTTGATCCATGCACAGAGCTCAATAATAATTCAGAAAGTTTTGTGAATATTAACGAATATATTTTGAAATTCATATGAAAAGGAGAGATTAACAATGGTCAACAGGAAGTGGAAACAGCTGCACAAATTCAGAAGACTATGAGATCCCAACTTGAAAATGCTATTCAACCCTAGAGATCAGAAAGTACTTAAATCAGCTTGCATTGCTGTAAAGGAAATGCCTGAGATGATCCATTTAGATGATCCCCGTTGTCAGGTATAAACAGGAGGGAAATCTAATACTACAGTGGTGCCTACAGGTCAGGCATGGGGGGTGGGGTGATGAGGGTTACATAAAGTCATCAGGGCAGGACCTCAGGATTAGATTCTAATAGTTGTAAAGCAAGGAGAGAGGCCACTCACACACCCACTGCCCTATCTTGCCAGGTGACATTTAGGCCAGCTTAGGACTCTGCCCCGTGCACTTGTGCCCTCTTCACCCCTCTCAATCTCCACCCACCCTGGAATGGGGCAGGGGCTGCTGGGTCTGTAGGAACTCAGCAGAACCCCCTGGCCTAGGGCTGGGGTGAGCCCAACACAGGACTGTTTGGTGTTTCTGTCCTCTGCTGGCCACACA